TGTTGTACATTACTTTCGTTTTCTGCAGATTAATTTTAAGACCCACCTTTCTGCTCTCCCTGTGTAACTCCGTAATCGTGAGTTGCAATTCGTCCCCTGAGTTACTCAGCAATGCAATGTCATCGGCGAAGCGCAGGTTACTAAGGTATTCTCCATTAACTCTTATCCCTAACTGTTCCCATTCTAGGCTTCTGAAAACCTCCTGTAAGCACGCGGTAAATAGCATTGGGGAGATTGTGTCCCCCTGCCTTACAACCTTCTTGATTGGTATTCTGTTGCTTTCTTTATGAAGCACTATAGTAGCAGTTGATCCCCTGTAGATTTGTTCCAGAATGTTTATATATATTTTATCTACGCCCTGATTCCGCAGTGTCTGCATGACGGCTGATATTTCTACTGAATCAAACGCCTTCTCGTAATCTATGAAGGCTATGTATAGTGGTTGGTTATACTCTGAGCATTTCTCTATTACCTGATTGATAGTATGAATGTGGTCAATTGTTGAGTAGCCTGTTCGAAATCCTGCTTGTTTCTTTGGTTGAGTGAATTTTATTGTTGCCTTAATTCTGTTAGCAAATACCTTTGTAAATAGCTTGTATACTACGGAGAGCAAGATGATCGGCCTCTAATTCTTCAAGTCCTTTTCATCTCCTTTCTTATGTATTAAGGTGATGTTAGCGTTCTTCCAAGACTCTGGTACCCTTCCCGTCAGGAGACACCTCGTAAACAGGGTGGCTGGTTTTTCTAACACAGTCTGTCCTCCATCTTTCAGCATATCTGATGTTACCTGATCTTCACCAGCAGCTTTGCCTCTTTGCATGCTCTCCAAAGCTTTTCTGACTTCTTCTATCATTACTGGTGGGGTGTCGTCTGGGTTACTGCTAGTTCTTATAGTATTAAGGTCGTGGTTGTCTCGGCTACTGTACAAATCTCTGTAAAACTCCTCCGCACTATTAACAATCTCGAAGCGCGGCTCTTATTCGAGGTTGTTGTACATTACTTTCGTTTTCTGCAGATTAATTTTAATCTAATAAAGGCCAATAATGTCTTCGATGTAGCTGGTGAACAATTCCGTGTTCTTCTGTGCGCAAGTCCGCAAGCGTTGTTCGGCTCTCGACTTGCGGACTGTGGCTCGGCCAAAAACATCAGCAAACGAAGTTTTGAAGATGGACCATGTCGTAATGTCGTTTTTGTGGTTGTTGTACCACATTTCGGCCACGTCAGCGAGATAAAAGATGACGTTAGTCAACTTGTCCGCGTCATCCCACTTGTTGTTTGCGTTCACCATTTCGTAGTTAGTGAACCAGCCTTCCACGTCGGTCTCATCAGCTCCGCTAAAGACCTTCGGCTCTCACAAGCGAAGAACACCGGGGTTGCTGGGCGATGGAGCGGAAGAGCCAGGTTGCGCGTTGTTGGTGGCCATGATGGGAGGTAGCGTTCGGTTGCGCAGCTCCAGGTTTAGGCGAGGGCGAATGGCAGCACCCAGAATCAGGCGACGGGGAATGTCAGTACTCTCCACCAATTGAAAAGGTGTTTATTGACGTGTGTTGCGAAGGCGGCTCTACGATGAAAACACAATCAGGACAGAGCAACGTCTTCTTCAAATAAATAAATATATATATATATATATATATATATATATATATATATATATATATATACACCTATGTATGTATATAAGGGAAAGAAGTGTATACCTAAGGGCTCGTTTTTCCGTGTTTTAACACAATATTAATGAGATCTAACAGACAGTAATGCCAAGGAATGTACAGGGGAAGTTATTAGAACCAATGGAATGTAAATAAGAAGAAAGAAAAGTGGATGAAAAACTAACCTGCTCATATATATATATAGTGCACGCGCGTGCTTATCTTTCAGTGGAGAAAATCGCGTGCCTTCGATTTTCACCAGAACAATTCCGTTTAGTTGCTGGGCGCACAAAGATCTCTTCGTTCGCTGGGCAGGCGCCGTTTGCGAAAAGAGTGCGCTTTTCAAACAGAGTGCAGTAACAAAATTAACTGGGTCTCTTGTTAGTTCACACACGTATTTGCACCTGTTATTACATGTGGTGCCACGTTCTTGTTTAAACAGCGCCTTAAGTATCGAGCTATAAACGTTAGTTCGCTCTCGTCCTGTGTATGCCGTTTTCATGTGTCATTCGTGCGTGAGCCATGCGCTGCACATTTTGATCTGCATGCCATTCTCAGCGTTACATTCCAAGTTGTTGCCATCGCATTCATTGCTTTGCGCTTGCGGCGAAAGTGGGACTTTTCTTAATTTCGGACGACCATGTCCTCACCACCGCAAGGATTTCGGATTAGGCGCTCATGGAAACTTTCCTTGACCATGGTGACGACAAATCTTCGAAGGTTGGCTCGTAACGCGCTTCTGTCTTGCGCCGCGCCGCGATGTCGCAGTCTGGTAGGTTTTGCGATTAGTCAATTAGTTCTGGCAACATGTTGGCGTGTTGAATGCAATGCTATAAACACGACAGCAAAAAATTGTAATGTTGTAAGAAGGAAGGCCTGCAGCCAATTCTTTTGCGTCCGATATCGCGGAATTCGTACAAAACGCTGGTGTGAGCAAATTTACAGCCACTCCAAGGAGAAGTGCTCGTTTAAGATGGATTGTTTACTTTCTGTTTGAGCATTCGACGGCAGTTGTAACACGCGGGATATGTTATCTTATGCAGTTTCCAGGCGATATGGGATGTGCCGACTTTAATGATCTCTGCTTCAGCAGTGCTCACGCGTTTTTACCTGCTCGTGCAAGTTACAATGTGCTGGGGCATGTTACGGAACATGGCGGCGACTTTAAAAACCCGCCGAGAGTGCCCATACAATTGCTATCGCAATAATAACGCAGTTTTTTTTACTGTCAAATAAGTGTTTTTGGTTAGCTCTGTTTTTGGTCCTCCTTTTGTTTATTTGTGTGTTTATTTATCGAATTTTTGGGCTGAACCTGCATATTATGAAATCCTCTTTAGAGGGAATTCTGAGAATTTATCAATTTCGTTATATCTAGGTTTAACTGTATACGAATTTCAGGTAAGTCTGGTTGCTTGATGAGCATTGCATGCTTACTAAAAACCACTGAAATGTTTTTGTTTACCAGAAAACAAAAATTCTAATTAACAGTGATGTGTGGCTCGATAAATCTGCTCCAAAACGGAACTTCGATGCCCCAAAACACCTTTTGCTGCTCCAGAAGTGTTCCGAAACTCCCTTTTTACTACTCTAAAGCTGCTCCCAAGCTTCATTATTCCTGCTCTCAAAGCTGCTCCAAAAGGCTAAAACCTGCTTCCACCCCAGCACCGGTGTCGACGGGGCTACAATCGCGTGTTCTCCACATGGAACACGCGATTGCATCCTCAAGTACTCTTTTGAGTTCCTTGTTGGGAAAAGCATCGTCACGCATTTGCTACCTCGTTCGAAAGTTTCAAAGCTATTTGGCTTTCTGGCGCTAGCTTTCGTTGCCACTACGTTGACTTGCACAAGCTTGGCGGATTTCTGTCTTCGTTCATTTGCCGGCCACAAACCTACGTCGTATTACGCGCGCTACTCTTGGATCAGTGCTTGCGTGTAATCTTTTTGACGGCCAATCATAATGTTGCTTTGTGCAAACTTTCTAATGACAACATGTCGAGGCTAGGCCTAATCAGCGTTAAGAGATGATTTAGACTTCAACCAAAAGTTTTGAAGAAACTCGACGTTTCGAAACCGACTTGGTTCCTTCCTCAGAGGTGACTGCGGGGCTACATAGCAGCGGAGCCTTTAAAGCACTCGCGGGGCGTATAATGACCCCACTCTCTCTCTCATATTGCCGTGGAGCGCAGTCCTTGTGTATACACTGGGGTAAGAAATCCGAGAGAGCCGTTGATTGTGGGCTGTCCTCTGTGTGTGCTACGACTCGAGTAGTAACCTACCTTCTCCTCCAGTTCGGCTCGCTTTCAAGGATGGCTGTCGCTTCGAAATTTATCCGGTGATTCAATGTCTCAGCATGTTCGGCGACTGCGCTGCGCTCTTTGTAGAGCTTTCGCACATCGTTGGCGTGTTGCTTCAGTCTTTCCGGTAGGTTTTTCGTCTCGCCGATATACGAAGAGGGGCACTCAGCGCACCGAATTTCGTAAACGACATGGGAGGGGGGGGGGGTCCTGTCCATTGTTGGCTGGTAGTTCGGGCGGGGAGGAGGCGGCCCAGCGTACACGAAGGCACGTGCGCGATACGAACCCCTTCCTTCTTGAAGATCTGGGCCAACATCCCGCTGGTTCTGTGAACATATGGGATCAGTTCACGTTTCGGGGGGGCTGCCAATGAAGGTTCATTGGCGTTTTCGTATCCTCTGTTGCTTTGCACGGCGGGTGGCGGCTCGAATGAAGTTTTTTGGGTATCTGTTTTTTCTGAGGTCCACAATTGCGCGGGCTTCTTCTTTCTTTCGTTCCGTGTAATTGGAGCATGAGTTTCTTAGCTCTTTGGAGTAGCGTGGTCACAACTGAGGCCTTATAGCAGGTGGGGTGGGAAGAATCAAATCGAAGGGAGCAGCCAGTGTGCGTTGGCTTCCTGTGAACGGAGAGCTCCAGGCTGTTGCGCTTGCTTGCCAGTGGTCGCTTTCACACTCGGTTGTGAATTGTATAGCTGGGTGCACAGAATTTAGGTGCTGTCTAAAGTTTTCAACTTCAGATGTCTTCATGACGCAAAAGCAATCGTCCATATAATGAAGAAAAAGCTTGGGTCGCGGCGAGAAGGAGCTGAGTGCTTTCTCTATGTACTCCATGGTCAGGTTTGCTATCACGACGGAAATGGAAGCTCCCATCGCAGTTCCACTGTTCGGCCTGAAAATAGCTTTCTTTGGAAAAAAAGTACGGACTGGACAGGCAGAACTGCCTGTCCAGTACGTACTAATTCGCCACCTTGTGGGTTTCCGCAGAACTCATTGGCAAAAGCTTATCTGTTGAGTGCTGTTTTGTCAATCATCATTAATTGAGTGGGCCTTACATGCAGGTGCAGCAGCAGGTCAAGCAGCTGGTCAGGCACCTTCAGCAGCCAGTACTCCTGCAGATGGAAGTACCCCAGCTGCACCACCACCGCAGCAACAGCAGCAGCAACAACAACAACAGCAGCAGCAACAGCAGCAATTGTTGGCTCAACAGGCCCTTGCCCAGCACCAAGCATATGCTCAGCAACATCAGCAAGCTCTCATGCAACAGCAGGCAATGGTGCCCCAAGCTGCAGCAGCAATGATGCCCCAGGCAGCCATGGTTCCCCAGGCCATGATGTCGCAGGGTATGGCCCCTCAAGGAATGATGCCACAGGCAATGGTCCCACAGGGCATGATGCCGCAAGGCATGACCCCACATGGAATGGCTCCACAAGGGATGCCTCCACAGGGAATACCACACCAGGGTATGACCCCACAAGGTATGCCACCGCAGGGGATGATACCACAGGGGATGGCACCACAAGCCATGATGCCCCAAGGAATGATGGCTGCTGGTATGATGCCTCAGGGAATGGCTCCTCAGGGCATGCCAGGCATGATGCAACACCAGGGTCAGTCTCAGCAAGAGCAAGGTCCTCCTTCAGGCATGGGGCCACCACATCGAGGCATGGGCCCAAGAGGAGGCATGGGCCCAAGAGGAGGCATCGGCCCTAGGGGAGGCATGGGTCCCAGAGGTGGAATGGCTCCACGAGGAGGCATGCCCCCACAAGGAGGCATGGGCCCACCGCATGGTGGTATGGGTCCCCAAGGCGGTATGGGCCCTCAAGGCGGCATGGGCCCACAAGGCATGATGGGTCCCCAAGGCGGCATGGGTCCCCAAGGTGGCATGGGTCCCCAAGGTAGTCCACAAGGTGGCATGGGGCCAAGAGGTGGCATGGGGCCTAGAGGAGGCATGGGCCCTAGGGGAGGCATGGGTCCTCAATGTGGCATGGGACCTCGTGGCATGATGCCCAGAGGTGGTCCGATGGGTGGGCCAAGAGGACGTGGTGGACCGAGAGGGCCTTCAGACTTTGGACCTTTCCGACCCCCTCTGTCCCCACAACAGCAACAGCAGCAGTTCCCTGGTGGCCAGCCTGAAGGCGCAGACGGCGACGATGATGGTAATGGTGAAGGTAGCTTTGGTGGAGGCAGGCCCTTCAGAGGGCGAGAAGGGCCACGTGGAATGCCCCCACGGGGTGGACCTCCAGGTCGTGGTGGACGCGGTCGCCCGTTTGGTGGTGGTGGGGGCCCAACTGAAGACCCCTTTAGAGGCGAGCAGGACTTTGGTCCTGAAGGAGATGAGTATGAAGGCGGCCCCAACCAGTTTGATACACCTCCTCATCATGAATTTGGACCTCCTCCCCCGGGCAAATTCGGAGGCCCACCTGACAAACCAGAGTTCGGTGGGATGCGGCACCCCTCACCATATGTGTGGCAGAACCCGAATCAGCGAGGTGGGGGCAGGGGAGCACCCAGGGGCCGTGGTGGCTTCTTCCCTGGCCAGCGCCCCCCGCCTCCATCACAGTGGGGTGGTGGTCCTCCGGACGACTGCGGGCCTGGTAATCCTGATGATCTCAGACAAATGCCTTCCGATGACCGGAGACCTGGTCCTCCCGACGACCGGAGGCCCGGCCCTCCTGATGACTGGAGGCCTGGACCACCTGATGACCACAGAATGGGCCCTCCAGACGACCGCAGAATGGGCCCTCCAGATGACCGCAGAATGGGTCCCCCCTGATGACCACAGAATGGGCCCTCCAGACGACCGCAGAATGGGCCCTCCAGATGACCGCAGAATGGGCCCCCCGGATGACCGCAGAATGGGCCCCCCTGACGACCGCAGAATGGGTCCTCCCGACGACCGCAGAATGGGTCCTCCCGACGACCGCAGAATGGGTCCTCCCGACGACCGCAGAATGGGCGCCCCTGATGACGGCAGAATGGGTCCTCCTGACGACCGCAGAATGGGCCCTCCTGATGACAGAAGACAGGGACCTCCAGACGACCGGAGACCAGCCCTTTTTGATGACCGCCAGCCTGGCCTTTTTGATAGGCCTGGTGGACCTCCAGATAACCGCAGGCCTGGACCTCCTGATGACAGGCACCCTGACTGGAGTGGTGGTCCTCCTGAGAAGCGCTGGAGGGGACCACCAGATGGTGAAGATGATGTGGCGCCTGGTGGACGACCCAATGGGGAGCCACCACGTGTAAGTGTCCATCTTATTTACAGTGAAGCTCTTGTTCAAGCCTTTCATGCCTGGTGGTTGTCACAGATCGTAGTGCGATTGATTTCAGAAAGTTGTTAAATCTACAAATGTGTACCACTGCTCCCACCAGTCACTACACCAGCTCCTGCTTACGCCACTGCTTTTTTTTCATTCAAATCCCACTTTATCCACCCAGCTGAAATAACGGAGCAAAGACTTCTTTGGAAGCCACCAGCTTGCAGTTGTGTCCACCAAATGGAGCTGTTTGAACCCTGTTCTTTATCGGCATCCTCGTTACCTCTGCTCCAAAGTAATAGTGCCCTTCAAAAACGCTTATTGCCACATTGTATGAACGTCATTTGGTGTTGTTGTTGAGGGACAGCTAGATGGAAGCTTTCATACACTTCATGAAGCAGTGTGCTACCTGCTGAAGGATTTGCTGTATGCTCCAGGGTTGTATGAATAAATAGAATGCACAAATATTGGTGCTAAGAATGAATTATAAATAATGCAAGAAGGTGAGAAGGAAAGTTAGAAATTCACATTACGCGAAGGTGGGCAGTGACAATGAACAGTCCTAGTTTGTGACGTACAAATATGCACTGTATTATTCACCATACCTTGCCTGAGCCGGGGTTGGCTGTCTAATTCATATATGCACATAATGCTTGATCCATACATTAGGTGTGTTAGAACAGCTGAATGCTTATGGAGGGATAAAAAAAATACGTAAACAGGAGCTGCGTGCTCAAGCTGACGTTTCTTTAGGCTAGAACGGCTAGCCTTGAAGAAAAGTGCACTGTAGTGTTGAACGTCTAGCCCGAAGAAGACGAGTGCACAGTGCACTTTAGCCTTTCTTAAGCGGTTAGCCTTAAAAAAAAAAAAAAAAAAAAAAGACGAGTGCACTCTAGCCTTGAAGAAGACATGTCCACTTGTCGAAATGTTGGCTTGAGCATGCACACCTCTGTTTATGGATTTTTTCTTTGTAAACTGTTATCTTCCTTTTGCTGCTATTTTTTTTTTAATTTACAAAAGAGTGGGAAACAGTCTGGAACGCGGCTAAGCTAAGTGGAGTGATCAAATTCACATTAGGTGAAGGTGGGCAGTGACAACGAACAGTCCCAATTTGTGACGTACAAACATGCACTGTATTATGAAATGTTTGGCACCAACAACCTAAACTCAAAGTAGGAATTCAAAGGGAGGAGAATAATGGTGATTTTAGCGGGCATGAAAAATTGGTTAACTTATCCTAGGAGCCAATGAAACTAAACGGCCAGTATTAACGCTACGTATGACATAGCTACATGGCAGTGTGGCACGGGCTTCCGTGAAGCCATATTTTAAAGGGGTACTGATACCTTTTTCAGAGGTGTTTTGACGCTGCCTTACAAATCTCTTGCATACAGAGGCTGCTCTGAGCAAGTGTGGGGCTCAGCGAATGCTGCTAAGATACTTTGTTTTGGTATTCAAGCCAATTTTCTTGAGGCGTAAACTAGTGCCATCGGCACTAGTTTGATGTCAGGCTACAGTACCGATTTTGATTACTTCAAGCCCCTGTATGGCTATTTGTGATGATGTCAGGCTTCGAACTTAGAAAATGGCCACTCGTGAGCACTGACAGAACCACGGTGCGGCGACACCATGGGAACGTCGCAATATTTTTGGAACACATGACGAGAAGCTCACATGGTGTTGTGACGTCAGGGTACAGTAGAAACTGAAAGCATCTGTTTAAAGGACACTAAAGTAAAAAAATAACAATTTGTCAGAGTGAAAGCTTAATGTATGCCTACGTCTAAAATCACAACATTATCAACAACAGTGCCCTACTTACTGAAAATTAAGGTAAATGCACAGACACATGCACCACGAGTAGGACATTCGCAAAATGATCCCGATGACATCAAAATTACCACCTAAAATTTATCTCTAGTAATCGAACTAGCTGCGCTAAACAACAGGGTGTCTACCAACCTGGCAAACCTGGAAAAGTCCGGAAAAAGACAGGGAATTTCTGAAAAATTGGCCTGATCATGGAAACTGGTGGTAGTCTGTGCGTTGGTCACAAAAATAAACATTATTATTGATCAAAGCTTATACAATTAAACCTGGATATAATGAAATTGATAAATCCCCAGAAAAATTCGTTATAAAGAGGGTTTTGTTATACGCAGGTTCAGTAGGAAAATTCGGAAACTAAACGAGCGCCTCGTCCGTCTCTTCTCTGTCCTGTGTCCTGTGTTACGCGCTGTTTTTTCACTTCGTTAAACGAGCAAATTAATCAAAAGAGGGACTGAAAGCTAGAGCTAACCCAAAACACTTATTTCACACTAAAAAACTGCGTTATTATTATGGTAGCATTTATAAGGACACTCTCGGCAGGTTTTTGCTGTTGCTGCCATGTTCCATAACAAATCCAAATGATAATGCCCTGCGCATTGTAACTTTCACAAGCGGGTAAAAGAGCGCTAGCGCTGCTGAAGCAGAGATCAAACAAGTCGGCCCATCCCTATTGCCTGGAAAGTGCATAAAATAACATCTCCCGCCTGTTAGAACTGCTGTCGAATGCTCAAACAGAAAGTAAACCACTCGTCTTGAACGAGCATAAAACTTGGCGGGGAGGGGAGGCGGAGGGCTCGCTCGAGTAGCAATAATGAACTTGGATTTTAAGGGCGGTTGTGATCGCTGGTGCGCTTATCTCGGCGAGTATCACTGCGGTTTCAGCGTGGAGGGACTGTGTGAAAAGAACAGTTCTCCCTGGAGCGGCCGTATTTGCTCACACCAGCGTTTTGTTGGAGTTCCGCGATATCGGATCCAAAAGAGTTGGCTGCCAGCCTTACTTCTTATAACATTACAATTTCTTGCTATCGGGTTCATTGCATCGCATTCAACGCACTGTAGTCTTGTAAAAACTAAACGGCTAATCGCGAAAGCTATTAGCCTGTAAAAGCGCGACGCAAAATGGAAGTGCGTGACGAGTCAAGCACCGAAGATGCGTCGTCACTGTGGTCTCGGAGAGTTTCTGTCAGCGCCTCAGCTGACATCCCTTCAGTGGTGACGACACAGTTGTCCGAAATTAAGAAAAGTCACAGTTTCGCCGCAAGGGTGAGGCAATGAATGCGATAGCGACAACAACTTGTAATGTAACTCTGGGAACGGCAAGCAGATGGAGATGTGCGGCGCGCTGCTCACGTGCAAATGACGCACGAAAACAACATACAGAAGACGAGAGCGAATGAACAACGTTTACCGCTGGACACTTGACGCGCTGTTTAAACAAAAACGAGGCATGAAACATAGTCACAGGTAGATACGAGTGCCCCAGTTGTTACTTCGATGTGTTTTAAATGCGCGCTCTTTTCGCAAACTGCAGCGAGCGAAGCGATGTTTGTGCACCTGGAAACTAAACGCAATCGTTCCGGTCGAAGTCGAAAGTGCGCAATTCTCATTACGGAAGGACAAGCACGCACACATGCATCTAACCCCCCCTTCCCCCCCATTCGCAGCGCAAAGTACGCGGGGAGGTAGGTGTGCCTCGGCGCATCGTGACAAGATGGGCACCGAGCGCGGGCGTCTTTTTTTTTTTTTCTTGAGTTTTATATATATAGATACGATTACATATAAGGTGATTGACGGCGGTGGTAACGGAAAAAACTGGCCGACACTGTCCATATAATTACCACAATAAATATCACAATAAAAATATATCACAATACAATATCACAATAAAAAAGTAAAGCTGAGCGTCGTCGGGAGCCTACATCATGCACGCGCAGTGAAACTAGGCATGCGCGAACGGCGTCGAAAACGAAGAGCGAGCGACACGGACACCGTTACCACAAAAAATATTCGGTAAAGTGCCCTCCATATGCAGCGCGGTCGCGCATATATGACACTGACTAAAGGCAGGGAACTGCCAATGCGCAAAAGTATATATATTTTTTATTTTGGTTGAAGTGGGGGGAAGGGGGCACACACGCTAATACGTCCACGGTGGCAAGAACGGCTGCAGCGGCGGCTCGTTGTGTGCAGGCCCGCCTGCCCGCCTCGCGCTCACCCCCGTGCAATAACGAGCCTCGCCTGGGGGGCCGTGCACGTCGCTGCCACTTGGCGCTTTGTCCGCAGCCTTGGAAGATGCGTACTCTTCGCAAAATGCGGAGGAAAATTCCTAGATGGTCCGTGGGAAAAATTCGTTTTATCAAGGCTGTCTCCCGCTGTTAGTTTTTTACAAAGAGGTCGCAAATAGGTGTGCCTGTATGGAGCATCGGCGGGGAATAGAAAAACTTCATTATATCGAGGAATTCGTTATATGGGCTTCATTATAAGCATGTTAAACTGTAAAACCACTCCTTTGGCTGCAACTTCAGTGCTGCAAAACCAGTTCCTTTGGCTGCAACTTCAATGAACAGCAAGAAGATGCGTGAAAAAGAAAAGGCAGTGGGTAGCTAATTGATTTTTAGTGTATACATGAGTGGATACACCTACCAAAAGAATGCAAGTGGGTAACTGTTGATGTTTAGTGTATACATGAGTGGATACACCTACCAAAAGAATACAAAGTTTACTGATGTTTTGGCACCCACTGTGGGAACCTTGTTCACAATAATAGACATAAGAAAGGCACAGATATTTAAGTACGCCTAAGTATGTGACGTAGGCACCAAGACTACATTGTCGGAATTGCCCCATCACTCCTGTTCAGCGTAAATGCAGTTGCATTCCAGCTGCAGGCAGGTGCAAGCTTTTCTTTGGCCAGAACACGCACTCTTGACCAGTCAGTTTGATTACCTGTAGATTCCACGTATTTAGCGAGGGCATATGAGGTCACGTGTTGTTTCCTGAGGTCATATTCGTGTTGTTTAACTTCTTTCTTGAAATCAGTGGTATCACCAATCTACTGGTTGTCACAATTGTGGCAACTTTTTCGCTCTGCAACTTGTCCGTCACGTTGTCTAAAGCGTCCCTTGGCTTCCATGTCCCTACATTCACTGCTTTGAAGTCTGTTGCTTCTACGTATTGCACAGCATATCTGACTTTTCAACTACAACATCACACATGTCGGTGAATTGGTGCATGTTTGTCTTGACCATGATTTCGGCTCGGCTTGAAGGCCTTCTGGTTCAGATAGAACTGCCATGAGCAGAGGCTTGCAGGACTGCGTGATGCCTTTTAATATTATTATCACCATCATTGTTATTATTTGCAATGCAACAGCAAACGTCTTCAGCTACACTCTTATTGCTGGTAGCTCGCACTTCAAGGTTAGAGTTCGGTAACTTCACCTAAATAAATCTGTAATTAGTTTTTAGCATTATGTCCATAGAAGAGTACAGAAACGAAGGCAACCCGCCTGCATCTCTGATAAATCTGCGGAATTGAGGGAGCTGTTGCTACCAGATAGATTCCTTTTTGCCAGCACATATTCAAATGTCATCGCTTTAAATGCTACCCCTAGGTTTAATTGTAGGCATCTGAGGACTTTGTTGAACTCCAAGCGGCATAGTCCAGAGAAATAAAACATCAACATAGGATGTGCTCGTTGTATAAAAAGAAAGAAAATTATGCAGCGTGACTTTGTTTTTCACGGTTCAAGGTTTACAAAATACATGCGTAGTACATAGTTATTATTATTTTTTTGCTTAAAAGTATATATTAGACGTGTACAATTTAGGTAGGGATGCAAATTAATAGTAAATACAGCAATCCAGGTCCCATTAGATCCAATCCACATCTTAAATAGTATACTCAGTAAATACAGGTATTTCTAATTCAATGCAATTCCACATCCTAAGTGACCTGGGCTGTAACCATTATAGTGAACTAGAATATACTCCAGTAGCGGAACCGGCCGGGATTAGGTGTTCCCCTTTTACACAGATGCCACGAGATGGTACCACTTCTGCATTTCTTAGCAGCTTTGGCTACGTTGTAGGACTATCATGGGCTCCTCCAAATTTTCAGCTGCGGTTAATTTTAACTCGTGCGTTTGCATTCTGCCAAACAGCCAACCTGCTGACTCTGGCTCGGAGATACAATTTTGCCAGATATACATTTTTTTTTTCATATTTACCGCGTGTGCGGAGAACATTCTGAGCATTTGCGGTACATTTATTTACTTATTCTATAGGATTGCCTGATTTTTTTCACCACTCTGGGGTCTGTTTCCAGTGCACACTGTTTTTCAAGCAGGTCACGGAGTTTGTTTTAAATCATGATGGAAAACATAGAAAAGTGAGGGAATATTTGAAAAGCCGATTGGTAGACGCCCTGAAATAAAGGACCTTCCGTGCATCAAAAACAGTAATAAAATGCTGCTTGTTCATTTCAGTTTGCTTCATGAAAAAAAAAAAATAACCGCCGGATGTTACAACGGAAAATTGCGCGAGAGGTTCAAAAGTTAAATTTTCGCCTGGTTAAACTGGACAGGTCCAACCATCTAGCGGGACCCAGTTGAACCAAACACGCTTGCCATCTCGAAGAACATGGCAGGAAATTGTTCAATGGCCGTTGTTGCTGCTATTGGTCCTGCTGTTTTCGCTCGCTGTTACTAGTGTCGGCGGCCACGCAGTAATGCCGGGCGACGTTGTGCACGGCAACAACTCGCTCTGGAACTAGATTATGGCACGTTGTACATGGAGCAGTTGGTTTACCATCAAGCTTTAGTCCATGACCTTTTTTTTTTTTTTTTAAAGCACTATGGTGTGGTGGTTATCACAAGGTCTCAAGCAAAGCACCTTTAATTCGGGAGCTAGGGATGATAAAATGTTATCGTTCATGGCACTGCTTTTTCGCCTCAACATTTGGCCTGAATGACTTGGTTTGCCATATATCATCAGTTAGAACAAAATCCACATCTTGTGGCATTCAGTCAGTGCATGGTCGAGCTCCACACTATCAGGTGCCTGAAATTCTGGGCCCTGGTCGCTTAAATTTTCTTTGGTAAACCAATTATCTACAATTGTGAAGTTTGTGAACAAAGCAAATTTTCATTGTGGCCAACAGCACGACTAATAGGGACAAAGAAAAGAAAATGAATGGAAATGTTTCAGCCAGCCATCCATTGCCTTAATGGATAGCAAAGTTTTCTTTTTAGTCCACCTTTTTAGTTGGTGGACAGCACATAGTTGCACAGAGTATTCCGGGTAATTCGCATTGTAGGAGCAAGGCTTGGTTGGTCACAATGTTCTCTGTTTGTGTTCTTCAAAGGCAAAGTCTTTTATTATTCTTACACAATAAAATGTTGTTACAGAAAAATATATAGATGAGGGTCCCATTACTCTCAGTTCAAAGTCAACACTGCGCTGTGCGTCCCCTTTTCTTTGTCTGGTGCACGTTAATCGCGCTGTCAGTCATAGCGAATTTATACCAACTCACTTAGCATCCGATCCTACTTTCAACGATGATTGGTAGGAATAAATGTCAGATTTATTGTGATAGCCTTCCTCTATCAAGCGCTGGCCATAATCACATGCATCTTGGCACCGATCAGGTTTGAGAGCGGGGAAATCGGTGTACCAATGTGCTGCAGCCTGTCGGCCTGCCACATACTTTGCATGGGATGGTGCCCTTGCAAGGATAAATTTATGATACATTAGGGACATGGCACCAAATAGATGACTAATGATGAAGGGTCCACAAAGGATCACAGCCGTGCCATTTTATTTGTTGCACAGGAAAAGGGCAAAGGACACTAGGACAACTTATTTTCCATAGAAAAGTACTGCCCTCTCTCTCATGCGACAGGCCTATGATTAAAAACTCATTTTGCGGTGCTGTTAAAGAAATGGGATATGTCAGCCCTGCCTGCTAGGCACGCTGCCCGCACCTGTCTGTTCTAGTATGTTGCACCCCAGTAGGTTCTTTCACTTGAGTTGGCGTTTGTGTTCTGTTGATGATCAAGGCAACGCTGCCAAGTTGAAGACAGAAACCGGGGACGACACAGGTGACACGCGTTGTTTGTATTCTCCCTGTTTTTTGTCGTCTGAACTTAACGGCGCTGCTTTTATCATTCACTATGTTCCAGTAGCCCCGACACAAGCTCTTTTGTGCTCACTCCTCATGTCTTGTGTTCGTGCTTGCACCTTACGTCCTTTCATCATGAACACATTGTGATAAGTTATACCAATTCCCAATGTCGTGTCTGTTGCCTGGTGACCACGTCACGCTATTCCTGCAGGATTTTGAGTCAGGCCCTCCGCGTCCACAACCACCGTTTGACCCGGACCGCAAGGATCCGCTTAGAGACGTGCCCGAAGGAGATCTGCCGCCGCGTGGCAAGGGTGATCATCCGGAGGCGGATGCTGAGCGACCGCCCCGTCCAGACTCCCGCGAGATGAACGAGGAGGACATGCGTGGACGACATGGTCCGGGAGGACCCCTGCCGGGCAGGAGCCCCCCGCGAACATTACAGGCAAGTGAACTGTGCTTCATCATCAGCTTGACCACACCCAGTGCAGGGCAAAGACCTCACTTATCTTCCGCCAGGCAGCTTGGTCCTGTGCTTGATGCTGCCGCTTTACTCTTCCGAATTTCATCTGCCCACCTAACTTTCTGTCTCACCCACTTGCCTTTTCTTGGAATCCAATCTGTAATCCGTAATGACCCGCAGTTACTTTGCCTTCGCACTATGTGCCCTGTCCATGACCATGTCTTCCTCTTGATTTTGACTATGATGTCCTTAACACCCTTTTGTTCCCTGACCCACTCTGCTGTCTTCTTGTCTCTTCAGGTTACACCTATCATTTTCCTTTCTAGTCCTCAACTCAAGGTGGAACCTCTTTGTAATCCTCCAGGTTTTTGCTCGATAAGTACTGGTACTTAGCTACGGAGCAGTACTGCACTTGGTTCATGTTAAATAGCTCTAGTCATTGCTTCAGGTTTCAGTCTCTACAAAAAAAAAAAAAAAAAAGGGCAGAATTTCGGGTCCTACGATTTCTCAGCACTTCTGGTGGTGACGGAGCAGTTATGTATTGTGTTCTGCTGCTAAGCATAAAGGTGTGGGCTTCATTCCTTCCTACAGTGGTCGCGTTTTGGTGGGCGCGAACTGCAAAAACATTCTTGTTGATAGGTTTGGTAGCTCATTGAAGGAACCGCAGGAGGTCGAAATTTATTAGGAGTTTCCCCACTATGGGTTGCCTCATAATCGTATTGTTAGAACCCATTGGTTTGGTTAGTTTTAAAACTTTAAATTCTATATAACCATATGCAATGAAACTGTATCGTCAATTCTGTAATTACCAGCTGGCCCAGGGGCTGATATTGATGTCGGGAGCTGTTGGCCACAACTAAATTATACCTGCCCAGCCACATTTCACTGTGACTTCTCAATTCAGAATCGAATTTGAAAATGTTCATGTGCTTCGATTTAGGTGGATGTTGAGATCACCACTTGGTTCCAACGTCGGTGCATGCTAAAGAACCCCACATGGTCAAAATTTCCAGAGCCCTTCACTACGGCGTCTCTCATAATCATATTGCAAGATGTTTCAGCGCGCGAACAAAGGAAAAAGGACAGGGTAGACAGAAAGAGCGCTGACTTCCAACTAACTTTATTTGACAGAGTGCCAAGAATATATACTGCTAAAAAGAATGATAACAGAGCATGAAGGTAAAGGCACGCCTAATCTACACATCAGTAACAAACACGTGTGACAGGTCCTCTATTGCCTCAAAGCCCAGCTAGGTAATCACGTTCAGCCTGTGATAAAGCAATCGATGATGTGCTTACACATTTATCTCCTAGCAAGTGTATTTTTTCGGCTTCAATAATTTCTCGGGTAAGCTGATCCCTGTGCCTTGCCATTATTGAGCACTGATCAAAGAGAGGGGTGCACCCACAATTTCGGCAATGAATGCCAAGATGCCCTCGTACCACATTGTGCACATTGTTTCGGTGTTCTCGGAGGCGGTCATTTATGCACCTGCCGGTTTGCCCGACATAGATGCACCCACACGTCAGTGGAATCAAGTAAACGACTCCCACTGCGCATGGGATGTAGCGTGTCCTGTGCGCGACAGAGCACGAGGCAGAATTTGCACGAGGTGCATTGACCCGTTTGCAAAGCCTCTGCAATTTTTCCGGGGCAGAAAAAACCACAAAAACGTTGGCGTCTCGAGCAATCTTTTTTAGCCTGTGTGATACGTCGTGCACGTAAGGCAGTACGACAGGCCGGCTCTTTCGGACACTGTTTCGCTTATCCGGTTTGTCGCCTTGCTTCAAGACAGTGACCAGCTTTTCCGCCACCGAAACGAGAACATGCGCGGGGTACCCAGCTTTGGTGAGCCGCTCTACTTGTAGAGCAAAGCTGTGGTGTACCATGTGGGGGCATGACTTCTTTAAGGCATTGACAAGGCAGAGGTTAGTGATGCCCCGCTTGACCAATTTAGAGTGAGCCGAGCTGAAAGGCAGAAGAGGCTTGCCGCTTCTTGGTTCATACATCCAGCAAACATGTCGGGAGTCTAACAAAAGCTTCAAATCTAGAAACTTCAGGTTGTTATCAGTGGGTGATTCATGGGTTAGAACTAGTGGTTTCAGGCACTCTCGGAATTCATTGCCGAAATTGTGGGTGCACCCCTCTCTTTGATCAGTGCTCAATAATGGCAAGGCACAGGGATCAGCTTACCCGAGAAATTATTGAAGCCGAAAAAATACACTTGCTAGGAGATAAATGTGTAAGCACATCATCGATTGCTTTATCACAGGCTGAACGTGATTACCTAGCTGGGCTTTGAGGCAATAGAGGACCTGTCACACGTGTTTGTTACTGATGTGTAGATTAGGCGTGCCTTTACCTTCATGCTCTGTTATCATTCTTTTTAGCAGTATATATTCTTGGCACTCTGTCAAATAAAGTTAGTTGGAAGTCAGCGCTCTTTCTGTCTACCCTGTCCTTTTTCCTTTGTTCGCGCGCTGAAACATCTTGCAATATGACTACGCACCAACTAGCCCAAGTTTCCACTCTTGTGACTCTCATAATCATCTTGTGGTTTAGGGACGCAGGGGTGAGACAGCTGTGCATATTGGGCATTTTTGATACATTTCGGTCTCCTTGCGCGAAGCTGCACCAAAAGCATAAAAATTAGGAAAATTGCACCGAACAGCTCCAAAACAGCCTCGAAAGCTAGAATTTTGATACCAACGTCAGCTTCAATGGTGGAAAAAAGCCGAGTATACTAATAAGACGTTCCCAATCACTTTTTTTTTTTTACTTTCACCTTTCTGATGATCAATGCTCCCGTAGTGCTGCCGTAATCTCCTCTAAAATTGTAAATATGCGTGACCCTGCAAAAGTATGCTGCCGTGCATCAAGCGTGCTGCTTCTACTAGCTACGGTTTGTGTTCTGGTGCCACTGTCGCCTATCAAGAACCACCGAGTCGGGTGGCAAGCGCACCGGGGTTGACTGTCAAGTTCTTTATTGTACGTAGCGCGTTCCTCGGGTCGCTGCGGTTTTCATGTCAACGCTGCTGTGTGAGGTCACCAACGCGTGCCCGTTTGCCATGAGCGAGTCACTGTAAACGTGGAGTCATTTCCTTGCATCCGACGAGTCTCTCGGATGCTCCGGCCCGTGCATATGGGTTATCAAAATGGGTTCCGTGAGCGACAGAATGCGTGCATCCCATTCCCAGTTTACGCCCATTAGCTTCTTGTTTATTTAGACAATCGAGTTCTCATTGCATTTTGCATTTAAAAAAATGCCGTCGCACGTGAAATCCGCACATTGGTGTCTGGAGGTAGAGAGAAACACTTGGTTATTTGTGAAGCCGTGGAGACAGAACGCACGTTCAAACCACTTTAAACGATACTAACGGGTACCTACGTGCTTTATTCGTGACTCATGACCCGTCGGCGATCACGTGGCACAGATGAACGATGATTTGCCGCTGCTCCATTTTGTAATCGAAACTCGCGGCAAGTGCTTTACAAGCTTTTAGGCTTTGCTATACGTTCGATCAGTGTTTTAGTCGGCGGCCGTTCCATATTGTGACTGGCAAACTTCACTTTCTTTCCTTCTTGCAATAACATTAACCTCTGTTCATTTGGCGGTTCGTTTTACAGGGACACAAATTTTTTACGTGCACTGTACTAGTCACGAAGCGTGCGGCAATGGCAAGTCGATATATTATCGGAGTTCTACATTGACGGTGATGACCTACGATAATAAAGAAAATAAAACTGACCAACTTGGGTTGTATCAATAATACGTGGTTGCTCGTGTGGAGAGGCGTTATCAGTACCATTCCTTTATGACTTGGTAACATACACATGCGCTTTATGTGATACAGTGCAGTCCACTTATAACGATATCGAGAAAACCAAAAAATATGATCGTTATAACCGGTGATCGTTATATCTGGACTGCCGCCAAAAAATCGTCGCCGGACGTACCTTTTGTAGCTCCAGGCTTAATTTCGCTCTTTTCACCAATTAATAAATATTGTAGATAGTAGGATGTCAAAAACAAGACTTTATTTCTTACTCCGAAGAACGCATCACGGGTTCGCTGAGGAAGAGAGACTGACCGACGGCGGGGTGGGAGCAGTGGGAGGAAGAAGCACAGCCAGAGGTACACAGCCGGAATGCCAACGAGGCCCCGCCCCGATGCCGCCGCGCCGCTTTGCTTTTCGCTTTTTTTATTTTCTCTCTCTTTCCCGCTTTCGTTCGGCAAGCTACGAGTAGCTTGCCGGCTTGCCGTTGTAGAAGGCGGGGAGCCGCGGAGCGCGGCGCTTTGCTTTTCGCTTTTTTTTTTTAATTCTCTCAGCCTCTCCGCGGTCGACGCGCGGCGAGGCACAAAACGTGACACAGCTGGCGCCATCTGTAGCGCGTCGCGCCAACTCGCGATGCTCTCCTCGGCTTTTTGAACGGCCGGGACGCGCTGCCGGTGCTGTGCTGCAGTGGTGGCAGGTACTCGCCTACGCTAACTTTTCGTCTTGTCTCGGCATAGTTCGTTTCAGAGGAACTTATCAATCTAAATGTTACGATTATTCTGAATGAAACATGCCGTCCACGGCAAACTTTTCATCGTTGTATCCGATATGCGGTGGATAACATATCGTTATATATGGTTTTTTTCCCCATAGCCCCAATGCATAAAATGAGACTGTTAAGTCGACCCATCGTTATAACTGATATATCGTTATATGTGGTATCGTTATAAGTGGACTGCACTGTAGTCGGTGCGGCGAGGTTTCTTGGTTCTCGTGCAGCACTCTTGAAGGTGGTTTCGCACGAGGTGGCCGCGAACGGCGGTGTAGCAAGCTTTTGTTGTCTGGTAAAAGCTTGCAGTACACTTGACGATATCATGTTAGGCTTTTCTTTAAGCGAAGGCCCACTGTTACGTAACTACGATTCTTGTGCAATCACAATTTTTGATTTTTTTTGTGTGTGAGGTGTTTCTCTTTTAAGTTTACTGAGAACCTAGTTTTCAAAAAAACCCTTTTCAAATATTTTTTAACCTTAACATTTTACAACGGTTCGATAGGCCACGGGGTATTAAAAAAATAGTGCAGTTCATACCTGGCGATAATCTGTTCAAACACTTCTTTCAAAATATGTTTCAGTGTTATGTGTATTTTCAGCCAATTGAAATATGCACTGGTGCCCCCGCGTTGCTAAAAGTTTGTCTTTTCAAGCTCCCAGGGCGGCATATTAAGTGCGACTACCTGCTCCAAAGCAAGGTTCTTCTGCTCCCAAATTGAATTTTTGCTGCTCCAAAAACTGCTCTCTGTTTAGACTCGGCCATTTCAACTTATGGGGACGTAAAGACCACACATATTATTATTAAGATTTCGGTCCTCGCTGCAGACGGAGGAGCGTATGTGCTCCTCTGTCTGCAGCCCAGACTGAAATTCACTGGGAGTGTAGCGGCTGCTCTGACAGGGTCCGTCAATAATGTGTGCCTTGTTCTCCGTGCTACAGGATGCATTTGCCGAAGATAACTGGGACGGCTTTGACGAGAGCGAGCCGTGGCCACCAGGCCCCGACCGTGGGCGTGGTCCTCCACCCCCGTGGATGGGAGGACCGCCAAGAGGAGGCCCCATGCAACGCCGGCCACCGAGGGGGTTTCTCCCTATGCGGGTGAGCAATCGTAGTGCTGGTGTTTTGTTCATTTTGGGGAAATGAGAGTGATAAGTAGTCAAAGCTGTGGGGCATGTTTGAATGTGAGAGTATGAGTGGAGGGGGGGGGGGGGGGGGCATGAGATAAAACTCCAAAATTCACACTCGATAAAACTCCAAAATTTTTGATGAAAGCAGATTCGTATTCTTCGTGAGAGTTTTTATCACACCTAAAAATATATCCACCGAAAACTGTCTCAAGTGTGCTTTAAAAATGTTTTCCTGACCCTGAGTCGTGAAAAGCCACCTGAAATGAACACACTCTCAAAATAAACACACCCCCAACTTCGGTCCTCAAAGTTTGGGTTTTTCTTTTCCCCGCATAATAAACGCACCCCTATATTCGTCCGCTGCAGTCCTGCTAACAGACACCTGGTGTCTCCCTGCCCGTTGGATCTCTTCCGTTTTTTATTATTACAGTATAGACCGCTCATAACGTAAGTCGCGGAACTCGCGAATATCTGCACTTTAACCAAAACAACTTTTTTCAAAGGCCGCACTTGCGCAAGACGTGTTGAGCATGCAGCTTCGTGTGTCCAAGAATCGAAACATGCGATGCGTGCTTGCTAACATTTAAATTTTCGAATGTTAAAGGAATTTAACGTCCAAAGACACGCGTTGCCAATGAAATGATTGCGGGGGGGGGGGGGGGGGTTGACAAATGAAAGCACCATCGCGGAAATTTGCCAACTACCAGACCGACTTGATTATGCGCATTACGCAGAAACTATGTCGAATCACGCCCAGAATTTGATGCGTTGAAAGATGCCAACCACTCGATTTCACGGGCGCGCACCCGATTAAGACATCGCAATCGAATCACAAACCACTGTTTCAGGGCTACACCTACCGCTCTCGTTTTCATTAATGATGTGTATCCCTTTCCGTCAAGTGCAGCCACCGCAAAGAGTTTCTTTGATTTGGTACCAAACCGCAACGTAGATTCACGCGATCGCTACCGTTATCGTATTTACTTGATTCTACCACGCCCTCGATTGTAACGCGTACCCGATTTCCACCATGAAAAAAAAAAAAAAGACATAAGACATTGATTGCAACGCGCACCCATTTTTCTCGCTGGCCCGCACGATCACACTACTCGAAAAAACGACTCCTTTCGGGAGCGTCTTCCATTTAAGTATGAGGTACGGGCGAAGCTTGTGCCCATCTGACGTGTAACAGAGCATTGCCGTCACTGTAGTTTTACTGTGGACCGATGTCAGCACGCGAACTTGCTTCGCCCCCTTCTTCTCGACGGTTGTGGTGCCAGGCATGTCGAAGTAAAGAGGCGTCTGATCGGCATTCCCGATTTGCCCAAGCAGGTAGCTGTTGTTGCGCTGCAAGTTTAGGACGAACCTCTGAAAACTGTGAAGCTTTTCATCGTACTCTTCCGCAAAACTTTTTGCATATGCATGTTCCCCTTCGTAGGAAAAAGTCTTTCCTCTTCATAAAGTTAGTTAGCCAGCACCTGCTCGCTTTAAACTGGCTCCGCATTAGACCTTTTTCTAAGACTAATTGCGTAGCCCGCACTTGGAGCAGTTCTGTCGTCACGGGCCGCTGTGCCGCTCGCTGCTCAAGCACATACTCGCCGAGCAGCTCTTTGATTTGCGGAAACCGACCCTGCTGTGGTCCACTGAAGCCTTTGCGTGAAGCTTTGCTGTCGACAATCTTCTGCTTTTGTTTCCGCTGGTCCCGAACGCACGTTTCGGGAACTCCGAATGACCGCGATGCGGCCCAATTTCCGTCCGTTTCTGCACACGCGATGACTTTTCTTTTAAAAGCGGCATCGTGGTGCACTCGAGTTTTTGGAGTCGGCCCTTCCACGCCGTGGATGCTAATGCACTACTAGATGACGAACTCCTCAGCACACGTACGAAGTGCCGCACATGGGAAACACATAGGCCGAAAGGCCGACGCGCCATGCCGACGCACGTAGGGGGCGGCCATTTTGGATTTGCCGATGGCAATAGATTGACCGTAATTTTTTTGTTCGTACTCGATTCTAACGCGCATGCGATTTATGAAGTCGCTTAACCAGAAAAAAGGTGCGCGTTAGATTCGAGTAATTACGGTAATCTATGGAACCAAACCTTCGTTATTTCGTCGGAATTCGGCTCCGCACCGCTTAATTCGGACAAATGCTCACGGCTGCTGCTACACAAAAGTGTGATGAAACAGCGCTGGCACCACTGGAGTGAAATTGAAACCTGAGTGGCATCGCCATCATCATCAACTAGTGGGGGCGATCGCAGCGTCACCGAACGTCGGCGTCTTCTTTCTTCTCCACTCAGCGCCTCCGACGCCATTTTTCCTTGTGTTGTCTTGTCGGAACCATCTCTTCTTGCGGAGTTCTCTTTTTCTTCCATTGTGACCGTATTTGCATGCCACCACCATCGTGCGCTACAGTGATGGCAACGGCGAAAAAGCGGCAGAGTCCACCGACGATGACTGCCCGACTTTCGATGCTGTCCTTCCCACAGAAGTGACCTTTCAGGACTACATCGCGATTGATCATGGTGTCGCCACGAGTGGTCTCCTGACCGATCAAGAGATTATTAATGATGTCACGGGCGCCCATGAAGACCACGATTCCGACGAAGAATCATGCGAGGAGATACAGTCGCGACCTCATCGCACCTCACGGGAAGTGTCGGGGGCGCTGTTAATATTAGAGGACGCTTGCCTGAACACTCCCGACAGCTTGCGTGCTGTTGGCCATTTGGAACAGTTAAGAAAAATTGTGATGTCAGCCGGAATCTGTGCGAAAACGCAGACGACAATTACAAAATACTTCAACAAATAAAGGTATGCTTCTGCAGCTTGATTTTAAATGTTGTTTTCCCTGTTCATTCATTAATTTGGCATTCGGTTAATTCGGACAGTTTTTCCTGGTCCCGGGAAATCCAAATTAACGAGCTTTTACTGTATAATGAATTATCAGGTATAACGAAATACTTTCGTGGCAGATGTGGCTTTGTTATACAGCCAAACCCCGCTACAACGAAACTAACGGGCTGGGGAAAATATTTGCTGAAGCGAGAATTTCGTTGTAGTGAAATCGAAAAAATATAGCTGATCTGAGCTAGCAAAACAAAGGAACGTTTATTCTTAAAATTAAAAAGTGTTCGCTGCTTCCTATTTTTTCCCAGCTGCGTCACGACGCAATTCACAGTCGTGCACAGTGAGGCCATGGTGAAAACCAAGCTGAAACAACGCCTACAACCGCTTTCGTAAATGTACCAAACAGTTGCATTAACACGTTAACACCAGCAGCCGTCCGCCAGTCATGTGTATCTGACAAGGCTGACGTGGAGGCAGGGTACCGTGGAGCAGTGACTTTTGCCTTATTCCATACCATTCTTATCATCCATCACTTGCGGCTAGCTGATTCTGCTGATAATACGGACGAACAGCCGCTCTGATTAGTTACCACACTGGCCAAGCGCGAACATAATTATAAGCATCGGAAACGGAAAAAGGCATCGTTCCGAGGTTGCACCCAGCAGCTGAATGAAGAAAACCACGAACTGAGCGACTGAGCTTCAACTTGGGATCGTCTGCGGCTTAAAGTAAGCCAGTGGCAAAAGCAAGGCAGTCTGATTGCCATCGCTATCGAGCAATGGCAGTGCCCATGCTTGCTGAACAGCGGCGGTATAGCGGCAGTTTCTGGTGGTGTCAACGCATGTTTTAGACTTTGTTGAAGCATTTTCAGGTTTCAAAAATGCATCGAAGTGTTAAATATTTGGTTTACTGCATAGAAATGAGTATCTGAGCCTGGAATTGCATGGCGAAATTTCGTGGAAGCGAAACGATCGAACAAACGGTGTTCGTTGTGGCGACAATATTCATGCATTGACTCCTTGGACTGCTGACTGGGAATCGTGAATTTTTACTTGTAGCGGAAATTTCGTTGAAGCTGCGTGCGTTGTAGCGGAGTTCGACTGTACTACATAAAATGGCAAACAGTAATCTGACACAAGAAATTCACTCCCAAAAAAAAACATGTTCACAAAGCGGAACTAATATTAATCAGAGTCAAGTTCCATCCTTAGCCCTAATCTGTCTCTATTCAAGATGGCGTCTCGGTGGCTACTCTGAAGCGCTCCTGCAATAGAACATTCTTACTGTTCCGATGCCACTTCTGAAACTATGAGGAAGTGGTACCGTTGTCGAAGTCGTCTTAGAAGACGTCGTTGAGTGAGCTGTTCGTCTTCATTGCCGGTGTCCTGGTCTTATTCGTCATCTTCGGCCCGCTTGGTCAAACCCAACTCGTTCATGGTGTCATGGTGTCATTGATAACACACTCCAATGACTGGTGTGGGCTACATTCGTTCCTGGTCGTGGTGGATGAGTCGTAGTCCCCCCAGAAACTGCTGTGCGAAGTTGCGGCAAGTCTGGGCAGCCCCACTCGCGACCCCCGAGGTCGACGGCCACTTCCCAGGCCTCTCACGCCGACATTCTTCAGAATCTGGCGGCTCTACTGCTTCCGTTTTTGTAGCGACGCTGACCTTTTTAACCTTCACAGTGCAAAGCTCCACAGCACAGGGCCAGCTCATCCTCTGTGATTTTCCATCACAGCTTGGGTTGCGTGCCACGTGCCTTTTTTCGACCAATTTCGTACGTGAATGTGGCATGCCTGCCCACCATCGGGGTCTTACACACCGACGCTTCGTTCCAGCACCCAGCAAGTTCCCGTGCCCCCTTACTCATGACAATGTCTGTCTCGTTCATGCACATTCATGGATGATGAATATGCAGTTGTGAAGGCATGTGGCAGTTTCGATTGTTTGGGAACACAGATTTCACTGTTTTGTCATGCACATATGTTGCACACCTCGCTCAACATGCTCAGAGGATCGAATGTGCTCAGAGGATCGTTCGAATTAACTGCGTCCCCATGTGTCCTAATACGGCATAATTAACGAAAGTTTGGTGTCATGAAAGAATATACGTGCTTGTCAGCACTAGAAGACTTGTCCAAGTTATCTAAGTTTTTTTTAAAAAATAAGGGTTGAATTAGTAAGCTTTTACTCTACCAGAAATGTTGGAGAGCAAAAGCTTCCTTCTTAAAAAACAAGGTCTATATTAAAGTTTCAGAGGGTGGAGGTTCTCAGTCTCCTTTGGAAAAGTTAATTCGAGCGCGAAAACTTGACACGATCACTCACACACGCACACACCCGTGCATCAAACACACAGCGCTCTGTGTTGCATGGGTGTGCGCGTGTGTGAGTGATCGTGTCAAGTTTTCGCGCTCTAATTAACTTTTCGAAATGCTCTACCAACTAGCCCAACAACAAGTTCTCTTAGAATACATTTCTCAGTCTCCTCACCGCCTTTTACCCTTATTCTGCATTTGGCACACATGAACTTTGAATTGAAAATTCTGAGCTTAACAGTCAATAGATAACATTTGTCATCTTTGAGAGATCATGCATTTTCTACTTTTGGGTGGGCAGACGGACCTCAACGAGCGTTGGAGAGATGACGACATAACTATGTGTGTACTGTATGCAGGGTGAGCCACGTGGAGGGATGAGAGGACGCCCCATGCCCCCACCGGGCGGTTGGGACATGCCTGAGTGGGGACCCCCGCCCCCCTGGGGGGGGCCCATGCGTGGAGGGCTTCGGCCGCCCCCGCCTCCGGAGTGGAGACATCGCCCAATGCCACCACACATGTGAGCCTCCAGCTGCCTCCAGCTGCTCCCCGAACGGCCACTGTGCATTGGGATCATCATGTTTCTTTTCTTGATGTGTTTTTTGTTTTGGTCCCTTTTTTCAATCATTCCAGTTTTTCCTGAATTTGCTTTCTTGAAAAAGCCCAACTCTGTAGTTAAAGCACAATACTGAAGCTGCATCCGTTACTGGTACCTTTGCTTGCCATACCTTTTGTTGTGTCATGAAAGTTCATAGAATTGTATCGGTGAGTATCACAACCGTCATGCTTCATATGAGACATTAATAAACAAATCGTGAACTTTTTAGATGGGTGCTGTTGTTTGACTGGCCGCACATACTTCCATTGCAGCCTCGGAACTAAGAAAGTTTTGCCGAAGTTGAAGAACAAAAGCGCTAGAAAACGAGATTAAGTCAAGAGGAGAGGGTCGTGGTGCTCTCCATTTGTCTCGTTCTTAGCACAGCTTTATTTCTTCAAGTTCAGTAATGAATGAACTGGAGCTAAATCGGTGTGGTAATTAAGTGTTGGCACTTGCAAGTCGCTTGCTCTATTGTGGTCATATTTGGTGGCATCTGCAATGTGAAAGGGGGCTCGCATTACTCTGCGCCGTAACTCCATCATTTGTCGGGTGTCAAAATGTCTTCACTTGATTAAATGAGGTGATTAAATGAACAATAAAGAGGGAGTTTTTTCGTGTTATTAGTAAATTACTCTTTCAAAACGGCAAAAACACTTTTTGCCGCAGGACGACACATTGTAAATGAGAGCACATGTAAAAAAAAAAAAAAACACAGGTGGTAACGCCACTTTCGGGTTTCCAGGACGTCATTTTGATGTCTCCATAGCCTGCATAGTTTTTAATCGGTAAATATGAAGTACTTGTGCGACAGGGAGGGCCTAGAGTACCAAGATTCTGTAAATTTCATTGTACTTGTACGGCCAAAATTTACAACAATGGTTTGAAATTTGTGGTGTCTTGCCAACATTTATGCGCAAAAATTTTGGAATGAAACTTAAAATTGAGACATGGAGCTTCCATTTTCACTTCTTTAAAATGAACTTAGGATGGCAAACCCACTTGCATAGAGTTTTCAAAGGATAATTTTTTAGTGTAAAGTGGTTCATTGTTTAGCTTTAGTGACCTTTAACAACTGCAGGTCAATTTTCATGATAACTAAATCACTGTGAAATTTTCATGTTGCATTTTACTAACAGCTTCAGCTTATTTTGCTTGATGCTTTCTGCAGTAATGTGAGGGGCTATGGCTGCTAGCATATTTTCTCGTGTAGAACCTCCAGCAGTGCGTATTCTGCACCGCCAGTTCATACATCCGGATATGTTAAAAGGCACCTGTAACTTTTGGTAAATTACTGCATGCAATCATGCTGAATTCTTTTTAAAACATAACTATCACATTTCTTACTAAGCAACATTGCAGAAACAACTTGCCTTTTTATCTTCATTTATCATCATGAGACAAAATTCTATTAAACCAAATTACATTGTGGTTGAACAGAACCAAAAGGCAAAATTCACACAAACTTCTGAGTATTATTTATGTATATAATGGCAGGGAAGACATGAAATGGTGTGCGTAGATAAAACAGCCTACTATCGTACTTGCACAATTTCAGTGCATGATTTCATTTGGTAAATGTAACCATCAAATTTTCATACTTGTTATAATTGGGTTTAAAAGTGAGACTGGCACGAAGTAACAGTTTTTTTTAATGCAAAATGGTTTGTGCATTACAATCGAGACATGATAGAATCGTGCAGATGCAGTAAGCGTAAGGGGCACTAAACAATGGCCAGTATGCGACCACACGCATCATGTGTGGAAAATCATTCACTACATTTATAAAGTGCAAACTGTGCAATGAATAGAACAGCGATAAGAAGAGAACCTGGATTCATTGTAGTATGCTCTTCGTTGTGTGATAATGAACTGAGGCTGTTGAAGAAAACAATGCAACAGTGGTATAACAAATACTGGTACTGCTAAATCTTTCTAATAAACTCTATAAATGTCGAGAATCGTCAGAAGTTCCAGTTTTCTTCATAAGTGTTATGTCTGGTTGGCAATTTAGAGTATGCATAATCATTAAGTTTTTGCCACCCTTTGTCTATCCAATGTGTGGTACGACAGCTTAGGCATGACGTGAAAATCGGTCTCTAAGTGCATCAATTTTCATACGAGCATACATCAAGGCATTGGGTATATTGCAACATCAACCTTTGATATGTTGATTTATGTGTTTATAGCAATTAATCTGAATTAACTTGTAATTAAATATTAATTCATCCTGCCACTTCATTCTCTTGCATAAGTAGAATCAAGTTTCAGAGCAGAAATATGATGCAGTCTTGTTCTTGATTAAGTTCATTTGGTGCGTAGAAAAATTACACTTTTGATGTGGCTTGTGGAAAGCATCAGGTCGCATGGCTCGTCAAACGTGTCAGTGCCTTTAACAAAAAGAGGTCATATGTAACAAAAGAATGCAATATGAAGGTAAATGATGACATGATTATTACAAAAGAGGTGGAATTAAACCAAATCGCATTGTATCTCACTTTTTCGTAGCCCCTAGGAGTCAGAACTAGCAAAAACAAGTTTTGTACACAAATGTGCACAGGGCATCGAAAAGGGTGAAGTAGAAGTAGGTTTAGGCAATTTCCTTACTTATATGTATGGAGGGCTCACAAGCCAAGTGTTGAGGCTCGTTCAGACGGAAGGCGGAGCGGCCAAAGCGGCGAGGCGGCAACGCGGGAAGCAGGAAAAACCTCCTCTCCAGGCGGCGAAAGCGGGAGAAAAACCAGGCGGCAAGGCCGATCGCTCTCGGAGCGATTTTTTGCCTCCTGTCGAGGCTCGCCGCTTTGCCGCAGCCAATCAGAATGCCACGCAGCGGAGGTGCGGTGGTGGCGCGGGTGTACGTTTGGGAGAAGCACTGACACATCATAGCAACACGTGCGCAAAATCGCTAGCTGCCCGCCTCTCCTGCCACGCGGCCAGATGAAGGAGGCATGCGGTCTGAACAGGTTCACGCACTCGCCGCCTCGCAGCTTCGGAAATCCCGCTTCGCCGCTTTGCCTCGCCGCCTTCGGTGTGAGTCAGGCATTAGAATAAAGCAGCAAGCTGCCAGCAGCCAACATGCTCTATAACTTTTTATATGCGTGGCATTCTTTCCCCTTAATGTGGCTTCTCAGGCAATGCAGGATACAGTCAAACTAACTAATGACAGCAACATTAGCGAAGTACAAAGGTTTTCATCATCGAATTAAGTACTGATCTAGTCCTGAATCGGAGGCTGTGCCATAAATGTCCTACCATGAAATGAGCATGAATGATTCAGTGGTGTCATGGCTGGAAAGAGCATCTGCGTAGCTGCCAAGTTTATCGGATTGGCCGGGAGACTCCCGAATTCGAACCGTTTCTTCCGTTTGTACGGTTGTCGTGAAAATCTCCTGGAAATAGAAATTTCTGTGCACGATCTAGCCAGCATTGACAAAAAAGCAGCTCAGTACGAACCAGGCTTTTCGAACCTACCCCATTTTATTACGAATGAGTTTAAGAGGCGAAACCGCGGCAAATACGATTTCGCCAAATTCTCTAGCCTCTTGTTTTTCGCGATGTTTTTGTTTGTTTGTTTGTTTGTTTTGGGTGTTTTTTTTTGTGCCCCAAAAAAATAGGGGCAAATAATTGAGCCCCCCCCCCCCCACTGCGGAAATCTCTCCAATCCAGAATTCTTGAACTTGGCAGGTATGCATCTGTCACTAAAGGACATACAATAAAAATCTGGTAAATGCTGGTCAGTGTCTGGGCAGCATCTACTGCATTTCTCGTGGTTTCTAGCTTTTAGCAACCATTGTGTAAACAAGGGAGAACCATGGAAGTGGCATTTTTTATAGTTCAATCTAAGGCGTGTTACTATCTCAAGGAATATAAGGGTTCTTGCCAGATTTCAATGTTCAAATCAAGCAAAAGGTGTGATTAACGAACGTTGAATTATTGGGAGCCCACTGTACATGTCAGTCCTAGAATCGCTTTTTTGAAGAACATGCATAGACACAAGCAATAAAGCTTGTGCCATTCTGATACGTAATATTACCTAGTGTGCATGAAATGTGCACATTATGTACCATTACAGTAAAGCATTTTGGGAGCCCACTGTACATGTCACTCCTAGAATCGCTTTTTTGAAGAACATGCATAGACACAAGCAATAAAGCTTGTGCCATTCTGATACGTAATATTACCTAGTGTGCATGAAATGTGCACATTATGTACCATTACAGTAAAGCATTTTGGGAGCCCACTGTACATGTCACTCCTAGAATCGCTTTTTTGAAGAACATGCATAGACACAAGCAATAAAGCTTGTGCCATTCTGATACGTAATATTACCTACTGCGCATGAAATGTGCACATTATGTACCATTACAGTAAAGCACACTGCAGAGAGTGCAGGCAGCAAGATGTGCCTCTGCAAGGTTTGTGAAGCTGCTTTAGGGGTGGACAGTCTGCATACTGTGTGATGAAATGTCAATAGGAAGGGATTTGGCGATAAGCAGTCACCTGTGATAGTGGATGAAATTGGTCGTTATCAGGGCTCAGTAACATGTTATGGGCCTGATCACATCGTCTCAACAAGTGGAGTAAACTGCCCTCTCCCTATAATTTTTATGACTAACACTTCATCCATCTGTGGCATACCGGCTACTGGTTATCCCTATGACTTGAGCAAATTGCTACTTTCTGCTCTTCATTGCAATGGCCATCAATTCTACTGCTATCTAAAAGTAATGGCACTGTTCAATAAAGCGGTAGTGCAGAGGGAACTTTTCACGAAATCATCCTTTTGCTACTACTGTAGGAAATTAGTATAGCCTACGCAGAACCTTTACCAATAGTGCACAGAAATGGCTTGAGTAAGTTGTGTCTACACACTAGGGCGTCGTACCGTGAAGTGCTAGGGTAAAGTGGTGACGATCTAAGGCGCGCATTGCATGTCTGGCAACATCGGTAGAGCACTGGGTACCCTGGGTAACGCAGGTTCCCGGACGAGCCGCCATTCGACTGGGATCGGCGGCTGCAGCCGCCCCCCTGGTGAGTCGGCGGCTGCCTGTACGCCGATCGTGCCGCCCGGACGGCCAGCCACGTGCCCGAGCCATTAGGCGTGCCCGTCGTGTGCATGCAAGCTTGTGCTGCGCTTCGTTGGATTTCTCATCGTTTTGAGCGTGCCTTCATCTTTCTTTCTTTTTTTTTGTTCTCTGTCGCCTTCGTTGCTGCGCTTTTCTGCTAATTTTCAATTCTCTCCTCACACCTGTTCATTCTCTGTATATCTGTTGTTTCTTGCAATCAAAGTATTCTGTTCCTCCCTTTATCCTTGTGTAGTGCTCTTCTAAAACCGCATCCCAGCATGTCCTCTCTGGCGCTGGCAGCGTCCGTTAGCAGTTAGGGGCATACAAACGTTGTGCAGTGTGCATTGATGAGCAAACCACAGGCTTGAGTAGCTTGGCTAGCTTTCAAAGGGATAGCTCTGCAAGGAAGTGTTGTGAATCGATCCTGTGTCATCTAGTTTTGACATGTATTTCCACCCCCCTAAAATTATTTGAATGCATTCTAAAGTGCCACATAATCTGTCGGGATAACCCTAGTATTTCACTGTCGTAGTAAATCCATGGTAGTTTCATATAAATATCGGTAGTAATATCTGCAGCAATTCTGCACGTAACAAAATTCATGAAAATGTAATTTTACATCTGTAGCGTTAACTGTAACAGCATTCATTATCCTTAGTGAGGATATATTTATTTTTTTCTTACCTTCTTTTAGTTTTTTTACAGTAACACGAATAGATCGGTTATAGCACACAGTCTAAATTGTGTTCACGTCATAAAGCTTTCTGCTAAGTATTTAATGGTAGCATCTCCCTGAACTTTCTATTCTTTGCTTGAATTCCTGAATAAGTTGCAGTTCAACTTTTAAATTTTTTATTTAAGAATTTTTTTATTATGTACGTATCAATACCACTACATTTTGCATCACATCATGGATGCGATTAACACAGCAAGCATTTCCACCACTCGTTTTCGACAACTACATTACGTCCATGCAGCTGAAGTAATGACTGTGAAACGGCTTGAGTGCTTACCTGATAAAATAAGGCTAAGTAAAAGCGCAGGTGTGAAAAAGTTCTGCAAGACCCAAGTGTCAGCGGTGGTCTTGTTGAGTCGATACTGCAGGATTATCAGAATGCCAAAAGTGAACATTGTTACGTAGCTCATCCATTACAGAACCTGCTGCAAAGGTGTCAACTGACAATTTCCCATGGGTTTCTTAAGCTCTAAAATAATTTGAAACCAATGTAAGTGCCACATTATTTCTCGTGATAACCCCAGTATTTCACTGTCATGGGAAGTCCATGGTAGCTTTATATAAATATCCTTAGTAATCTTGGGTGTAGTAGTATCTGCAGCAGTAATATCTGTAATAAAATCCATAGCAATTCTGTCGGCAGAAATAAATGCTGTAATAATTTTATAGTAAAAATATTCATAACTTCACGACCATGGAGTTTACTGTAACAACATCCATTATTGGTAATTCAATGCAAAGCATGCTGTTAATAGGTCATTCAAGTGGCTGCTTGAGGATTTTAGGTGACTTTCTGGAAAATACAGTACTCACGGATCGAAACGGGACAATTCGTTCGTCACTGAATCACAGACAAAATGGGATAGAAACAGGATGATTATAGTTTTGTTTCCATCATCTTCAGTGTGAGTCATATCTGTGTAATTTCGATTCAGATGCGTAGATTGGAGCCAACATTATCTTTAGAGACCAGATTTGTTGCAGCATGATGTAGTAATCTTGAAAAATTGCATATACCTGTTTTATTCTTTTAAATTTTGATGTTTCGTTTTGATTCGTGGGTACTGTACAACTGTATGGCATGTTGCTGTTATGTATTCTGAAGCTGTTCATGGGATTTCCAGTGGGCACCTGCTTAAGCTTGTTTTATGCATGATCTTCTATGTTAACTTGAATGAGTGGGTGGCGATTGCATGGTTGTATGAATTTCTTGGTGCATGTAGAAGAACTTGTCAAGGCACGGAGAGCCTAGCCTGCATTAATCTATCGCTGATATTGGCTGTGCTTGATAATATCGAGAATACGCTTTCACGCTGGAAAAGCGTTTGCGTGCACAATCATTTCAAGGCTTTTGCATTGCATTTTTTTCTGCAAACAGCTTACTCTTGCATGCGCACTTTAACGTGCGTGTTTGATATTGTGGAAGTCTGCTTTGTTTTTGCAACATCGTGGGGAGTTGGCAGGTCATGTTTTGCGTAGTGGACTTTGGCTAGAGTGGGCAGGGCATGTGCTTCAGTGTTTCATAGGCGTTGAGGCACATTTGAAACAAAGTCAAAAAGATGGTGCGAGCTGGTGTGAGCAATGCCACCACATACGTGATCTGATTGGTTTACTTGAGCACTGTAAGCAATGGAGTTCTACTGCATATAAGGTGTGCAACACAATTCAGTACTTCTGTTTCTTTCTCCGATATGTGTTCCTTTGAAATTGGCATCATTCTTTTAGCTATCTGCGCTTGTCAGATTGGTTTTTAATTATGGATGCGATTTGCTGGGAGGCACTCTTCCTCGACCTAAAAGCAACACTGAAGCAGGCCCTGTTTACTCGCTTTATTTGGTTTCTATGAATTTGTGAAGCTCTGCACAGCAGCTGCCATTCTTCAGCACGCTGCCACTATAAAATTTAGGCATTGCAAGTGTGTAAAGTTGTACGCTTGCGTACACATGCATCCATAGCATACAGCAATGCTTTGCACTTTAAGGCCAGTTTTAGAAAGAGTCATGACTGCTCCTTCAAGATGAGTGTGGCCACGACATCTGTGAAACTTGTACAATCCCGGCCGATTCGTGTTTTGGCTACGCTCCACACACTGCATTGTAGATTTTTGTTCTAGGCAGCGTCAGCTCGCAACATTCGAAACACTGTTTTGTCTTTTTATAGATATCGTGCTACTCAGCATTCGTGAAATAACATTTATTCTGCTGCAACTAGGCAGTAGGGGTCAAATAATTAGAGTTTCCATGTTTGTGAAACATCATCAGGCAGGCATCACAAGGAGGATACGGTCTGCTTTGCCGTCAGCATACACATCTGTCATTTGATCATCGCTGTGCCACAATGTGGGCGGAACAGTTGCATTTCTTACAAGTTCTTCAATTGTATTATTTGGAAAACTACGTTTCGTAACCGGACCTGCCCATGGACAGGTTTACAGAGGATAGAAGGTTCACTGTCTGCCTGGGGAACGATAATGGACAAGGTACTTCATCACAGCAGTCTTTGGTGCGTTGCACGAGTTGTGGCGGCAAACGCTAGGCGAAGTACTTTCAAGAAATGTTATAGTACTGTGGCCACAATATCATGTTCAAAAAAAAAAAAAAACTTATTTTAAACCCTACTTTATCAAGTATGTCGTCTTTTGACGCATATAAATGTCATTTATTGGTTCATTTTTTTGCATACAGGTGTCACTGCAATCAGCAGACCTTTGTAATTTCAGCCAATCACATGTCCGCATTTTCACAAAAGGTGCCCGTAGAGAGTTTTTTCAAAAACTTGTATGATTGAAGAACTCTGGTATTTCCCATCTTAACAAAACACACTGTGCGCTCATAGGCCATCCAGTGTTGCCATTACTGTGCTCACATATTTTGCGAGACTTCCAAAAGTGCTGTGGCACAGCGCTAAGGTGGGGGAAGGGAGGCCCACTTCAAAAAGTTTGGATGGAAGCAAATCTTCTTTCTTTCTTCTCTTCTTACTGATGCTTGTCCCCTCTTGCTCACGCGCGCGCGTGTGTGACGCTTTGTTCCTCTTCTTCTGGGGGGCTAACTCTGGCCAGGGCAGAGGAGCCGCCAGAAGCACCGTGGGAGCCCGAAGTGATTGACTACGGTCACCGGCCAGCCGACCTGCCTGGAGGAGGTAAAGCCAAGTAGCAGCCGGCCATCGTTGCGAATAAAGGGCCTCTCATGTATGTTGTCTACCAGCACAGAGAGACGCTGTCTTCCCTCGGGCCCCCTCTGCGGCCACGCCCATTTTGCATGGAGTTGCCGGGCAGAGGGGGGGCAGCGCAGGGGGGCCGGTGCCTCTGGCACTTGCCCCTGCCTCGTCCGTCTGCGGGCGCCGTGCGAGTCGTCTCTTAAGAGACCCTAGAATCCTTAATGGGAAAGCACTCTGGGCGTGACATATGCCACCACTGTACACATTCGTAGTTTCAAGTTTCTTTAGCAAACATTAGCAATATATTGAGCGAGGAATGATTAAACAGTTTCATACGGTAATATATGGCTATATATATGTTTATATTGTCAATATATGATCATATCATATACACTAATGCACTGTCGTACCATATGCGTCATTATATGGTATTGCATTATGTTACTATAAAAGTAATATCCAACATGTTCCTTCGTTATTTGCTGGTGTGAGGTCTAAAATTTTTACAGTTGTCGTTAAATCTAACATTTAGCTGTGTTCTGTCGTTTAACTGCGTTACCATGCAACTTACTTGCGCCAGCCTAATTACAAGAATCTGCTTGCTGTTACAGCTGATTAGCGTAAAGCAGACTCCCTGTGAAACAAACGAAATATTTTGAAAAGTTATTTAAAGGTTCCCAGTTAAGTTGGCCTACATCGTATTGTAGTCGTGTAGTGAATAGTCGTTAGCATTATAAGACGCAGCTTCTGTTGCAGGTAAATATTAAAAGTGCAGCTGCGCATAAAAGGTTAACTTTGTCCATATTTGGCAGTGTGGTCAGAAAGGGACACTAAAGAGAAAGCCTCTTTTTTTTTTTCTGTTTTGGTAAAGAACTTTTTCACAAAATTGTGAGCACTGCTCTTGCCACAAGAAAACATTTGATAAAAGCAAAACAAATATACAGGTGGTATAGACGAGTTTCTTTACAAACTAGCCGTGAAGTCATAGATTTCGATAATCTCTTCTAGCATGTACATGATGCCTAATAGGTAAAAGTTAACTGCATTGTGCTCTGTGGAAACCCGGAATTTCTAAAAACATTTGGTGACATTTGCGAGCAAGTGTTGCACTGTTTGTATGTGGCAGATATGAGGGACTGAAATCTGCAACAGCACAGAAATAAAAAATGAAGCTTTGTCTACTCATAGTGAACCTACAATGGCAATATTAATTATAGAGTTCTTAATGAATAATTTTTTGAACTAAACTAATTCAGTATTTTGCTTTAGTGTCCCTTCAACAGTGCACACGTTTGTGTACAGTGGTGTGAATCTAGCATGGCATTAAGCCACGCCTGTTGTCAAGTAGACAATAATGTTAATTTCATCCACTATAACTTAATCACTTAATGATTCCTGTTGTCGACATGCAAGTTCAATCACATAGCACACTCAATGACTTTATTGTGCAATTAAATGGAATAACAAGCTTTATGAGCACTGAACATTAATATTTTAAAAGGCAGTATGTAAAGTCTAATACGTAAAAAATATGTGCAGAAGCACTTGCATCTCAAACCTTGTAATGCAAAGGTCAAAGCTCAGAATACCACAAAATTTTTTATTAAGCCTAGTGCAAAATATTAGCTGCACTTAAGGCTATCAAAAATTTCTGCGCTTCAGCTGCAAGGAAGGGACTGACAACTGGCGAGAACATCTGATTAGATCATGGTAGAGTTGAAAAAACTGTAAAATAAAGTGCAAATTTTTCGCAATCTAGCTAGTATGTGCATTTTCAAATTGCGTTTGAAAATTGCAAAAGACCAGTATGCCACGCTGCCTTGCGGTAGAGCCTTGCCGCTTGATTGTGGAGTCGTTTCCCATGCTGGTTTTAGTCGGCTTGCTGAGAAACAGTTCTGCTTTCGTGGCAACTAGTGGAGCATATCGAGCCATGGAACACATTTGCAGTGTACTCTTGCATGTAAGAACAGTTGCTGCAGATAAAAACATTTCTGTTTTACATTTTCTATGTTACCGTCCGTGATTAGACACTCGGACCAGGAGGCTTTCCATTGCGCTAACGAAAATGGGTACCACATAAATGGGTTGTCAGTCCCTTTAATGTAAAAATACTGCGTTACCTCTGCGTTATTACACGACTATACGCTTTCCGAGATCCGGCTACTCAACGAAGATCACTATAAGTGATTTTGGACTCTTCGAACTCCTTGCGTGGAAAAAATAAAAAGTTCTGTGTCGTTTGCCATTCATACAAGTAACTTGCCTGGCTGTCTAGGGCCATACTTTGCGTTTGTCATAACTGCAATAAATTGCATTGCACATGACTCTTGTGTTCTTGAAGATAGTTTCAAAAGCTGTCCATCGCCGATTAGTGGTTGCCATAAAGACACAGTAGAATGCAACAATTAGTATGTTCTAGGAACTTTGCAGCTGCTCAAATAGTTACTTTCATATTCCGATGACATCGGATATAGTGGCCAACTAGTTGGTCTTTTGTATCCTCTCTAGAGATATTATTAAAGAGAAAGTTCAATGCTGGGCACCTGAAATTAGCATCCCTTTTTAACTGTTAAGTTGTCCTTATTTCGTAAAACCTAGCAACTTATGTAAACTGCAGAGATCACTCTTTAAAGGTCATTGTTAAAATTGTTCTCAAGTCACGTGAGAGATCTGAAACAGTTAAAGAGATATAAAGAACATATGGGGGATTGAAATAATTCAAATAAATTTATTTGTAAATGAGAAAATCTTGAAGAGTTAACTTAACGCTTATGGTTTTAGAATGTTACAGCTGTTCAGTGAACAAGGATCTACACGTATTTAATTTAACAAGATAAAAAATGAAAAATTGAAACTAAGCAAATGTTAATAAAAGGGTTGCGGTATTCAGCAACAGTGTTTCAGTGCCCCAGCCAATAGGCGAGATGTGCAATCCATGCTCCATGTCAGCAGTTTCGTGCAGTATTGCAGACAGTGATCAAGGTGATTATCTTGCCTGATGCAGTTTCTCATGCACAGGTATGCCTTATTTATCAGTATATCTTTTTAGTTATAAACTTTCCTTTCGGATGTAATTTATTGAGGTTTAAGAACTGGTTGCTTCAGGACATTAATGGGGGCATCAGAGTAGTTAGATATGGCATGATTTAATGCATCAAGTTTTAAGGTTATATTGACCTGTGGATAATTAAATTCACCAAGTGACTAAGTCGTCTAATAAAGCCTCATCTTTCATTGAAGGCCAACTACAATGAAATCTAGGGCCATTTAAGAGGCCTAGTTTGACATGATGTGCTTCCGTGCAAAATATGTATGAAGTCTATCCAGATTAAAAAAAAAAAACTTATTTGATGACACATATACTAACGAAGATGAAGTGTAGCTCATTGAAAATAGTGGGGCATGTGATTTGCTGACCACCAAGAGGAATGCATGTTTATGTGCTCTTCAACGATTGTTGATGAGATTAACGAAAGCCCTCAAATATTATCTAAACTAGCTTAGTGATAAATGTTAATCTATGTAACAGAATCAATTAAAGTTGAATTTCTTTGCAGTTGGCCTTTAAGTGGTAACGCCAATATCTTTACCGTGATGATGAACTGAATGCAACTATCCTGCACCATTATGTGCGGTTATCACTGATTGGTGCTCAATTTAGATTTGCTGTGCTGCAGTAGTGCCGCATGGAATTAACTGAGCTGGAGCATGGAAATTATGCAGCTGCAAAGTGCAAGTAGCGATGGTATTGCCTCTGGTAGTAATTCATGTACTAGTTATATTTAGCTCAAAATTTACACTGCCCTGTTAGTAAGCCAGGTACTAAAAAGGAAAAAAAAAAAGCTGGTTTAAACCTGGTGGTAGTATTGCCTCTGCTAGTAGGTGAAGTAGGAAAAAAGACCCGTCGCTACACCTGGTAACGATACTGGCTCTGCTAGTGTGTCAAGTATCAATAAAACCTGGTGGATAGACGTTGTAGGCCAAATATTAAAAAAAAAAAAACCTGGTGTAAACCTGTTGGTAGTATTGCCTCTGCTAGTAGGTGAAGTAGGAAAAAAGACCTGGCACAACACCAGGTAACAATACAGGCTCTGCCAGTTAGTCAAGTATCAATAAAACCTGGTGATAGATGTTGTAGGTCAAATATTAAAAAAACATGGTGTCAACCTGGTGGTAGTATTTCCTCTGCTAGTAGGTGAAGTAGGAATAAAAGACCTGAGGGCTACACCAGGTAACAATACTGGCTCTGCTAGTGGGTCAAGTATCAATAAAACCTGGTGATAGACCTTGTAGGTCAAATATGAAAAAAAAAAAAACCTGGTGTAAACTTAGTGGTGGTACTACCCCTGCTAGTAAGTGAAGAATGAAAGAAAACCCAAGGCAACACAGGTGATACTTGCTCTGCTAGAAGGTCAAGTATCGATAAAAGCTGGTGCCAGACCTTGTAGGTCAAATATGGCAAAAGAAAAAAAAAGCTGGTGCCAGTGCAATCATGTATAACCTTGGAAGGCTGCTGGAAGGACCATCTTCCTGTCATAAAATACTTAAGGGGGATCTGCTTGAGCATTACTAAAGCATTGTAATCCAATGTGTGCCACTAACAGCAGATCCTGCTATTCACTTTTAGTTGTTAGAGCCATTAAAAGAAACTGCTTTTAAAGGAGTACTGCCCTATGTTTCAGGGGTTTAATAAATTGTAACTGTCTGATACCTGGAAAGATGGTAACATGTACGAATATTAGGAAACATATTTCAATTCGACCCTAAAGTTCAACTTGTTCAGTTGGGCTCTGATGTCATTGACACAGCGATAAGACAAATAAAAGTTGCTCAGCCACAAAAGTAGGTCTACTTATGATGTCATTGTTCATGAAAAGTGAAAAGGGCTGTAATCATTCTTTCTAGCTGTGCTCATGTATGGAAAATTTTGTTAAATCAGAAGAAAAAAATTTCTAATGTTGTGCCCTCACTGCGATCATAAG